TCAAACTCGTGGATGGTATGTCATTCTATATCTTGACTGTGGCGAGAAATATAAGCCATTATATTAGTTAAGCTTTAGCTTCTAAATGATTTGATCGATATTATGGTGGTTACATGGTGAAAAAGTGTTGCTTTTTATTAAGGTCTTTAAGAATGGAATATAACCTTTTCCTTCTAATATTGTAAATCTTAGTTGGTGTTTATCATGTTGAGAGGAATTTAACCCAATATAGGTGCTAAGAACCCATATCATTTCAGTTCTCATCTTCTCATATGTTATCAAGAAGGGAATTCTACATTGATATATCCTTTAAGATCTTGTAACATTTTCCCTTGCTTTATCTCTGGGTTTGTTCTGTTCCTTTCTTGTATGGGATGATCTGGATCTTAGTTACCCCTCAATGATTGCACTTAATTAAGTCATGAGTCGAATCTAAAGGAATGTGTGATCAGTTTACTATGGAATGTGATTCTAGAAGTTTTTATATAAAGGCATAGTAAGCTATAATTTTTTCTGCTAAGTATGCAATTAATAGTGTCTAAATTTTGGTTTGGTATCTACAGGTTTTATACTCTTATGGTGTTGTCCACTGCATTATTTGAAAAACCAGCATTTAAACATCTGATTTGCAATGGTCTTGTGCTTGCTGAGGATGGAAAAAAGATGAGTAAAAAATTACGGAATTATCCACCACCTTTGGAAGTCATAGATGAGTATGGGGCTGTAAGTTTTCCCTTTTGTATGCTCTTACACTGCGTTTTGAGCTTCTTATTCTTTTTTCGTTAAATGTTCTATAGCTATGAAAATGTGGCAGTGGATATACATCATAACTTCGTGACTTTATGTGAACCTTGACAGGATGCTGTGCGATTGTACCTGATAAATTCTCCGGTTGTACGTGCTGAGACACTACGCTTCAAAAAAGAAGGAGTACTTGGTGTTGTGAGTGATTTTGGTGGTTGTTTTTATTACTGCTTATTGGAGTAGACTCCAGATTTGTTGTTTTTCTGAATTATTCTGGACCTGCATTGGGATTCACTAGGTCAAAGATGTATTCCTTCCATGGTACAATGCATATCGGTTCCTTGTTCAGAATGCAAAAAGACTTGAGACTGAGGGCGGTGGGCCCTTTGTTCCTACTGATCTGGCAACTTTACAGTCAGCAAACGTTCTTGATCAGTGGATTCACTCAGCTACGCAGAGTCTTGTTCGTACTGTTCGCCGGGAGATGAAAAAATATCAGCTTTACACTGTAAGTTTCTTACATGTCATTTTCAGCATGATATGGTGTTCGTATTAGAAAAACGTTATCACTGTCGCGTGGTATTTATCACATCTTTGTATTTCTTTTTCTGTTTAGGTGGTTCCTCATCTCTTGAAGTTCCTTGACAGTCTCACTAACGTATATGTTAGATTCAACCGCAAGAGGTTAAAAGGCCGTACGGGGGAAGATGATTGTCACACTGCTCTTTCAACACTATTCAATGTATACTAAAATAGTTGCAGAGATATTTGTTTGCATGGTCACCATGATTTGAACACTTGTTATAACTAATAATTGTCTATTTTCAGGTGCTCCTTACTACTTGCAAAGTGATGGCCCCTTTTACACCTTTCTTCACTGAAACTTTATACCAGAATCTGCGGAAAGCGTGTAAAGGTTCTGAGGAAAGCGTTCACTATTGCAGTATTCCACCAAAGGAAGGAAAGGTAAGACTCAAGTCCACGTGTCTATATCCAAGGATAAAATAGAAGTTGTCTGAATTTTTGCTTACGTATATTTCTTCTCCTATTCAAATAGGAAGGGAAGAGGATTGAGGATAGTGTTACAAGGATGATGAAAATCATTGATCTTGCTCGGAACATTCGTGAGCGTAACAAACTACCCTTGAAAACTCCTCTAAAGTGAGTGTTGGTACTTGGTACTTGATCGTTTTCAGTTTCTTCTTTGTTAATCTAAAACATGAATCAAAAAGTCATACACGCTTATCTTTGTTGTATCAGGGAAATGATTGTAGTTCATCCAGATGCAGAATTCTTAAATGACATAACTGGAGTACTAAGAGAGGTCTGTTGTGTTACAGGAACAGTAGTTTATCTTCTGGAAGTTTTAATTAATAGCTATGAAATTTTTTGAGGTTATTGTAGGCTATGTGGATTTATCCTGTTTGATTTTGCATTGCAGTATGTCTTGGAAGAACTTAACGTAAGATCTCTTGTACCATGCAATGATACTCTGAAGTATGCATCTCTAAAAGCAGAACCAAATTTCAGGTTGGTTAAGTTTTCTGTCTATGTTTTTCTTTTAACCATTGAGCTCAATGCCTTTCCAAAGAGACGTAGAGTGAAATTTTACATGTTCATTCCTGCAGTGTATTGGGAAAGCGACTTGGAAAGTCGATGGGGCTTGTTGCAAAGGAAGTTAAAGAAATGTCTCAAAAAGATATCTTAACATTTGAGGAGGCTGGGGAAGTTACTATTGCTAACCACTTGCTAAAGCCAGAAGATATCAAGGTCTCTCGTGCTATGGTGTTTTCTTGTGAGATAGCATTAAGAGTATGTTGTTAATAGCTAAATTCTGACACATATCTTTCATGTGTTGTTCAGATTGTTAGGGTTTTCAAACGCCCAGACGATATGAAAGATAATGAGATTGATTCAGCTGGAGATGGTAAGAATCGTAATTAATTACCACCTCTCTGTTGGTAGGATACATATAATACTTGCTTTCTTTCATGATGCAGGTGATGTTTTGGTGGTTCTGGATCTACGAGCAGATGATTCTTTGGTCGAAGCAGGTTTTGCCCGTGAGGTAAAGATATAACGTCTAATACTGTACTAGTCCTAGATGACACCAAAGCAATACATTTTCTTATAACTTGTATATCTTCTGTGGGTTTCTTTTTTCTGTATCTAAATATTCTATTTCCAGATTTAGCAGCTAATGTTGTGCTCACGAGCTTTTTTTCCCTGTGTTGTAGATTGTCAATAGGATCCAGAAACTGCGGAAAAAGTCAGGTCTGGAACCAACAGACACTGTGGACGTATACTTTGAATCATTGGACGAGGATGAATCTGTTTCTAAACAAGTTCTAGTCTCTCAGGTAACTTGTTTTTGTTTGTTACTCAATTCATACTAACTTGAAATTAATGAATGTTTCATTGCGTGTACATAATTATTTGTTCAGCTATGGATCAAACGAAAATTTATGTTTCCGACATGAATGTCCGCAACGACATACCTTAATTCTGTCTCATCATTCTTGTTTGTTGGACAGGAACAAAACATTAAGGATTCAATCGGCTCCCCTTTGCTTCTGTCTACTTTAATGCCATCGCATGCAGTAAGTCATTAACACTCCCATATCTGCTTATTTCTTTGCACGGCAGAAGCTTAATGTTTATCCTCCTATCTTTTATGTAACAGGTCATAATAGCCGATGAGACATTTACACCAAAAGAAACATCCGATGAGAGTGTCAAAAAGGCTCCAAAGTTGTCTTATAAGATAAGTTTGGCTAGACCGGCTTTGAAGTTCAATGAAGAGGCTATTCTTGCTTTATACTCGGGTGAGTCACCATCTCATCACAATGTATGCTCATCGTCAATTCTCTCTTTTTCTCTTTAACGTGTCCATGTATGATTCCAGGAGATGTGAAATCTGCAACCGGGCTTCAAACATACTTGTTGTCAAGGGATCATTCGAATTTGAAATCAGAGTTCCAAGCCGGAGATGGGAAGGTTTGTTTGTGCGACTCAAAATGCTGAGCGTTAGTTAAGCTTTTGATATCCAAACTGTTTACTTAATCATTTTAATGTATCTTGTATGGCAGATAACTGTAAGCTGCGTCGAAAATCTGCCTTCTGTGACTGTTGTTCTAGGAGAACATCTGCATCTGTCAGTCGGTGACGACTTTTTGAGCAAGAGGAACGTATGAGCCCTCCCTTGGTTTTGCCTGATTGATTGTGGATTTATTTCAAACGTTTAATCCCTTATTTTTCTTCTTCCATACCTTACCTTTTAAAGTGCTTCTTTAAATTGTTGCAGAAAGTTAAATCCCGGTGTTGAGACTAGCCCTGGGCATAAAAACCGAAACTGAAAAACCGAACTGAACCGAACCGAAACTATCCGAATGTTTTGGTTTCGGGTGTCACAAAATAACCGAATGGTTCTCTTTCTAAACTATCCACGGATATCGGTTATTAACCGAACCGAACCGATATTCATGGATATCCGCTTTAAACCGAACATAATTTATTTATGAGGCCTAAAGCTCATTTGTCTTCCCTATCCAACTTACCCAACCCATTGCCTAATCCCTACCCTACTTACCCAACCCATTAAGCCCAAGCCCATTGAGTGTGATTGTGTCACATGAAGAGAAGAATGGAAGATCAACTCAAGGACTTAAAATGCTTGTAGAATCTAATAATCTTTTACTCTCTTTTTCTCTCTTTCTCAAGTCTCTTTTGAATTTGATTATTTTGTTGCGGTCTCAAGTTTAAACTCTTAAGTCTCTTTGAAGTTTGAACTTTGTAATTTTGTTGCGGTCTCAAGTTTTATTTGGGTAATGGTTCGGTTATTTGGATAGTTCGGTTATTTGGTGGGTAAATAACCGAACCGAACCATATCCGAAAGTATTTCGGTTATTTTTTGGTTCTCTTCCCAAATATTCAAACCGAAGCGAACCGAAAGCTAACCGAACCGAACCGAACCGAAAACAGTTCGGTTCTCTTATGGATGCTAAGTGCCTAAAACCGAATAACCAAATAACCGAATAATCGAACCGAACCGAACCGAATAACCGAACGCTCAGGCCTAGTTGAGACTCTTTTACTCGTTCTATTTGTACAATATTAAACTTTTATTCAACTCAAAATTTATGGTGGGAGAGATAGATATGTGATGAGTCCAGTTACCAAAGTTGAACATGTGATTTAGTACGGAGGCAAGAAACTTGCATCTAACTTGTTGAAATCTGAATTTACCTTAACCAAAATTGATGAAACACAAGATAATAGATTCCTTAAATTATATTTTCATACATTTAATAATATTAACGAATCGTTAATATTATTAAATGTATGAAAATATAATACATTTTCATACGATGATGAAACCTACATACAAACTTATTGTACATCACACAGAAAAGGAATACTAAAGTGACACACGAGACTAATTTTTATATAACATTTATATATGATATGTTAGGAAGAGGAGGGATAAAGTATCCATGCTCGGCCAGATTTGGCTGTGAACTGCTTAAACCTCCCATAAAACATTACTATTATTAGTACGAATTTTCCGACAGGACTCCATCGTCCTGCAAATCCATAACCCGCGTCTTTGCAGCTACCGTCGCTGATGTCCAGACGCCGTTCACAGCTGTACCCGGTAGTGAAACCCACGTTTCCATATGCACTGCCATTACAACAATTAATTTGTTGATAATTCTAAATTTCTAATTCCAAAAATATATATATATATATATATATATGTCTCTTTAACAATTCTATTCTATGTCATATCACACATATTATGGGACTTCTAACAGATTGTAGGATAACTAAAGTATATTGCAGGAGTTTGGATCATTCTCTTTTTTTTTATGCCGTATTTTTATAAGAATTTCTGTTTATAGACGCTACAAAATTTCATATAAAGTTGTTTACACACTTTCAATATGTTTTTATGAACCTCCTCTTATTTGTTAGGTGAATTACAAATACGTGGATTGTCAGATGTTACATATATGTATGTATGCAGAATATGTATATAGAGATATAGAAACATACCTGATAACTTCGAGAGTGATGTTAAGGACATTGAAATTGAGTGGATCGCGTCGTAGTTTTTGCCTTTCGGTGATCGAAATGAGAAAGATGCATATCGTCAAAAAGGAAAGTTGTGACACGAAGAGTCCACTCTTTGTCACTTTCTTTCCATTTCCGGAATCATCATCTCCTTCTTTCTCTATCGTCTTTTGTTCCGTCAACGGCATAAATAATGTGTATGAAGGAAGATACCTTGTCAACGCAATTATATTTATTTATTAATTAGTCCAAAGAATTATTTATAGAAAGAAAAAAAACAGAGAATAATGCTTTGTGAATATGATGAACTGGAGACTGATACATTTTCCACTACCTTGAAGGGACATAAATTTTTATTTATTTTACTGAATCTAAAACCATGGACATATTCTGATTCACTCTATCAAATCTTGTCTACCACATTCTCTTGGAGTTTCCTTTGGTAATTACATATATTATATTCCAGAGTTCTTCTAAGTGAAATCACCTTAAAAAAAAAAAAGAAGAACTACTTTAGGTAATGGAGAACTTTTTCAGTTTATATTTTTTGTCGAACTAATATATTTTGCCACAAAATTTTTTATAAGTTAATATAAATCCCGAGTTACCACTATCAACAGTGTGTTTGTTAATGTTTTTGTGGAAAACTTGACAAACACACTGTTTATTTTTTTTTTACGTTTTTTAAAAGGCTGACCAATTCATTGACCTCATTTGTAGTGAAAGAAAATTAATACTCCACAAAAGCTCAATTTTTATATTGTTATTACTTTTCTCTATAACCAGAAGATCTACCAAATAAATACTAATCTCCAAAAATTATAATTTAGCTAGGTATTCAAACTATGTATATATGCCAACCATTTTTAAACTTGAATTTTACTTCCTCAATCCATAGAAGTGAACCAAATGGACCACCCACTCATGCATGATTGGCGTTACGTGTTAAGGAAACTTTAAATAAACAATAAACGTTTTTTTTTTTGGTATAGAATAAACAATAATAGTTAGGAAAATGTTTGCTTCATATAAAAGTTAGGTAAATGATTTAATAATTTTCCAAACTACACTATGTGAGATAACTATTATTGTTTATAATGTTTGGTGTTTCTCTAGTGAAAAGTCAGGCAACTTTCATGTCGTGTGAACTTTTATAGTATTGGATTGTATTAAAGCATGCAGCACTATCTCAATTGTTTTAGTTTAATGTATTCATCAACTGCACCTATTTATACATGCATGTCACCTTTTACATATGTGAAAAATATGTCGACACTAGTGAACTTTTCAATCTAAATATTTTTAGTCCATGCAAATGCATCAATATATGAGGAGAGGATTGAAAGAAACTTACATCATAAGAATAAAGAGTACCAAGATGGCTGGGGAAAGTGTAGAGAGGTCAACAATAGTTTCTCCGGTATGTCGCGAATTCACCACTTGAAACAACGACCCAACCAACTTCTCGTACGAACTCATTCCTTCTAGAGACTCAGAGGTCCACTCAAAGGCACAGAAGAAAAGAAGCTGTATTATTAGAAACCCTAGCACCGTTACTCCAAGAAGAACACATAGACGTACGGAGAGTAGATGAGAGTATCCCATCTTTTTTTGGTTCTTTAGAATGTAACCAAACTCGTCACGCTTTGTGATCTTATAAAGTCCCCATATGAGCAAAGCCAAGAAGCAAGGGAACAAAGTGTTTCCCATCAGTACTTGAGGGATTAAGAGCCAGATGAGTCCAGAGTTCTTGCGAAAGATGATCATATTCTCATTCGTGGGGACGAATCCGCAGTTTGCAAACGTGGAAACAGTTGTGAAGACGGAGAAAGTGAGAGGTGAGATATCTTTTGAGCTAAGAACATCTCTCGCCGTTTTAACAAAGTTTACGTACACAAGAAGCAACACAGAGCCAACTAGGTTTGATACAAGATGGTAACTAAGAACCACCGAGTACAAACACTTAGATGCCCTTTCTTCGATCTTGCTAAGACCCTCGCGATGATCAGTAACAGTCTCGAGGTCACTACGGTGATCATCGACCAAACGGTCCGAGTTAAAAGATCCCACAAGATGTCTAATCTTGTTGTGAGGGAAGACGAAGTTGGTGAAATGTTGAAAGTAGAGGTTGAGAAAGGAGGTGAAGATTTCGCCGGCAAGGAACATGAGGATAGTGAGGAAGATAAGTTGGGTGTTGGAGAAGACTTCCATGTCGACGGTAGACATGGAAGAGACAGTGATGGCAGAGACAGAAGTGAAGAAAAGGTCCAAGTCATGAGGACGTGAAGTGGTTCTTGGCTTTGTGATCTTTAGAGCCAAGAACCCTAAAAAGGAGAAGAGCAAGAAGTAGATGAAATAGAGTAAGAATAGTGAACTAGATTTCATAAGCTGCGAACGGATTTTAGCTATTTTTGCCGCAACTCTGTCCATTTTAGTTCTCTAGTCGGTTTAAGCATTATTATTGGCCATAAGGTGTGTTTATATATTACAGATTTACACATACATGATCATTGTCAGCCACATATAATATGATGACTATTACTGACATGATATCATTGTCCTGTTCAAGTCGTTTTTTCTCTTTCCAATTTCGAGGGGATTGGTAAAAGGAATAAGATATATAAATTCTACACAAAATGAGAGGAAAAGCAAAATTAATGTAAAAAGAGTGACAAAAATAATTCCTCTTTATTATTTTAGTTGACGTGGAAAATTTCTCTTCCTTAATTGGAATGAAAATAATTCTTTCTTTATTATTTGTTTGTTCCAAAATAATTATTTCGCTGATTATGCAGATTTTATTTTCAACATTGTAGATTCGATTTCAGTATATATAGAAAACAAATAAATAAAAAATGTGGATTCGTCCAATTCCATGATACTTTATAATTACTCCAGTCCTATATATGTAGTCGTGTAGAGAGCAATAAAAATATCGAGAACCAAAAATTATAGGTAATTCTTGACAGGAAAATTGTGGGAAGAACAATTGTTCAAAGGCAAAAATGCTTAGAATATTTCAGATACGTTCATTATATGTAATGAAGGGGGTTTTATGATAATGCATTACTCAACTTCGTAGACCATGCAAAATTAGATCACAGTCTAGTTATATTTGCTCGTACAACCCTGAAAAGGTGGAAGAGGATTCGTAGAAAATAGATCAAAGTCAAGATCTGAGTGTAAAGGCAATACGGATATGATGTAGTATGGGAAATAATTTGGAGAAACAAAATTGGTCCAAGAAGAAAATTGACTGGAAGTGAACATGAGTACATGAGTATTTTTGTTATTTATATTTTCACAAATAGATTTTTCTTCACACATAAGGTAACTAAATAGTCCAAGAAGAAACAAAATTGGTCCAAGAAGAAAATAGTTTATATGCACGAACACATCAAATTTGAATTACAAGATGGTGTATATTATTTCTTGATAGTGTTTTGCGCACGAGGGGCAAACTATTGTATGATAGGACCCTTTAGGAAGTGGATACAATCTAGGAAGTGATGCAATATAATATTTAAAGCGTGATGTATAATCAATCACTTGCTAGCTAGGTGTCAACTAATAAATCGTGAACATATTTCTAGAAGATGTTGACAATAGAGGACGAACAAAATATGTTCATCCTGCTCAAATGCGTTTAGCACTAGAGAATCCATTCTTTTACATATAAAATGTTATCGTCTGCTAGGTGTAAATGAATTTATATACGAAAATTTAGGAGATCTTCTAAGAGATAATATTATTCGGAGCCACCAAATGTTGTTGATTAACTTTTAGAATCGAAAGAAAGGTACACTAATGAAGTGTAAAAGTTACATTATACACTAATGGAAAATAAAAATACGAAAGGTCACTTACTTGTCTATAGTACCATTTTAAGTGACCTCTCTTTTATTGTCTTTAGATTCGTCTAGCTGTCTTGATATTAGATTTAACGATGAAAAATCTTTAGTAGGCCAGACCATGTAAAATTGTACTTATAAATAGTACTAGTTTTAGTGACCATTTTTTTTGGTATCTTTGATTTGTGTTAGACGAGATATTTCATAATAAATGCGTGAGCCCGACCTATTAATTACTAGTTAAGGTCACTCCTGAGAATTTACAATAATTTCGAAACCCTACTTCCCTACTAGCATGATAGAATTGATATAAGTCTGTGATGGGTTAGGTGCCATGAGTTGTTGGTATAATGAACACAAGTTCATAGGTACAATGTAAATGATAGGATAAAGATGGCGTGAATTGGGGAATGTGTATGTGGATTTGATGGGTTCTTGTTTAAATTGTTTTACGTACTGAGTTCTTTACTCAAATACCTATATATACTACAAGAAAGTGCTCAATATGTTAGGACCGATACCGTAAGGAAACGGTAGAAAATAGACGATTCCTACCGATTTCCGGCCCTACAGTTTCTGTTCATAGAAAATGTTCCGTAGAAAACTAATATTGCAAATGATCTTGGTAGTGAGTAACTGTTTGACTGGAAAACGTGATTGGTATAGTATGTGTGGGTTTAGACGAATAGTAGTTTGTTGAGCGATTTTTCTTCCGAAACCCTTTTATGGTTTTATAGTTTGTGGTAGTCTTTAAACATTAGTCTCTTTCTTTTTTTAACTCTTTCTTATTCTTTTTTTTTTTCATCTGAAATATCTTATAGAACTTTTGGAATGATACGATGCCGGTGGTACGAAATAACCCTAGAAACTTAAGTCGACAGACAACAAAATATCTCCGAAAGCTAAGTCCGATTGACAGAAAACTGATGATCAAACTGATAACTGTTTGGAAAGAATACCCGAAACTAGAGCAAGATAAACAACAATTGTATTCTGAAATTAAGCACCAACTCCACTTCTACGAATCAACCGTATCACCGAAAGGCCTTAACTCTTTCTTATTCTAATTCCTAATTAAGAAGGGGTTAAAAATTACCTAAATTATTGTCATCCACAAGTCCAATATTAAGATCAACTTGTCCATTTTATCCTTTAAGGCGTCTTCTCGTACATGATAATATATAATAAAATAATTTAGAGAAGGGCAACATCATATCGTGGAAGTCATGTCTCTAACACCATGAGCTTAAAGATAAATGCGTACTTGTGTTTTCTAATCTGTATTTTGTTCTCTGTCTTTTCCCACTAACTTTGGAGATTAGTATACCATCATTATCGGATGCTACATTCCTCAACCACTTCGTGTTCTCTTCATTAAAAACTAACCAAACTATGCAAAATATATAGTTTCATCATTATCCAATTCTATTTATGAAAATATTACGTGAATATCACTTGTATTTTCAATTATACTTTTCGATAGGAAAAACTATATGTTGTATATAAAAAAAAAAAAAAAACTACAATTGTATTGAACTTCAAATGACTTTGATATTAATGGGATAATGCGTCCATGATTCTGTTTCCACTAAAGCTAAAACTTCAGTCAGAAATCAGAAACTTAAATTATAACATTAAACCAAACAAATCGGAGACATTATAAGGGAAAACTGAAAAAAAAAATGAAGAATATTTTTAGATTTATTTTTATAGAGAAATCTTGAAATGCAAAACAAATTTATTAAACCAAGGGGGAAAACATTATTCACACTTTAAATTTTCAGATTTGTTTACATGAAACCGAAATAGATTGGATATTTTTTTGCAATTTCCCCATAAATAGCTTTTGCCTTTTGCAATTGAACTAATGAACAGTTTCACTTTGCGTCTGCTACCACTGCTATTAGTATTTGACTATTTGGTAAAGTGAGTTCTAATTGTCTTCAAAACAGGAAGGAGACATTGAGAATATTTGTATGGGTACGTAACATTCTCCAAGAAAATGGTTTGAAGTTGATTGATATGAGAAAACTCAAGCTTAAATCCCCTAGATTCATACTGAATAAGTCTACCGAAGTCGTCAAATTTTTGAAGTTCTAACCGTAATTTGAATGATGATGATTGAGCAGGAAGCGCGAGCAGCGCGCGAGACAATAGACTATATACTAAATTTTCTTAGATATCGAAGCAAACAGATCCGTAAAGCGCATAGCCTGATATATATGACAGACAAAACTAAGTATTCATCAACATACAAAGATAGTCAAGTCCTATCGAATACACGAATATGTAGAGCAGAGATTGATATCCATTCACTCGAATTGGTAATGTTTATCAACAGCAACAGAGACATCCCAAGTGCAACTCATTCTTGAATGCTTTGATGTTCTTGTGAGATATGGATTGATGCTTGTTAAATACATAAGACCACCGATGCAGCCCATTATTTGCTTTCCCTTAATATAATTGTTCTCAGCTTACACAACTCTATTTTTATTTTCTGTCCAATATTGTTAGGGTAACATTATTATCGTATAGCATATTATGATCCATTCATGCCTCATCTCTTGAGGCCTTTGACAAGTTGAGCTATAGTACCTGTACCGCTAGTTAGATATTTTCTGTCTAATCATGAAATTGCGCCACATCTTAAAAAAAAAAAAAACTAACAAAAATACTAATAATTTTGTGAATTTTATCGTAATATAGTAAGTGGCTACTTTATATATTTAACACAATAAATTAACGATATCTTATTACCAAAAACTGATAACGACTACATCAAAGTTCATGGAATTTTCCATGTGTTCAATTAATTCTCGTCCTTTTTCTATAGTGACATTACAATTAATCTTCGACGTCCGTCAAAAAATCAGTATACTACTAGCCAGACTAAAAATATGGGACGGCATTATTCACGAGTACTAGAATTAGCGACCACAACTTTTTCTCTGTTGGTCATGTCACATGTGGGTCGATGTGTTATTATGAGGATGTACAACCTTATTTCATTTTCGGAAATGTTACCCCACTATCTTTATTACGCAATGGTTTTTAAATATGGAGACATTTTGATGAAACAACACATTCATCTCTTCTTTGTTCATTATTTAGTTTGAGTTTCAACTATGGACTTAACAGTGATTGTTGGGCTCGGTTTCACGGGGAGCAAC